GTTGAATTTATGCTGATAAATGACTTACTTTTTAAAAAAGATAAATTACTGAAGAGAATACAACTAAACTTTTTAATAGTGCACTTTTAGGCAAAAGCATAGTCAACCGTATCATCTATAAAGTCCCAAATATATGATCTATGTATATTGACTCAGAATTCTGTCTTTAATTCGTATACAGATAGCCCAAGCATGTGGAAGGCCTCTGTAGAGCCCATTACGATGTCCAAGGAATTCCTATCAATCTCTTATCAATTTATATTCCACAGCTCCACCTTTCACCTCTTTGGGGTTGATGGAATGCAAGTCTACTTGTCATCTCTGCATGCAGAATATCAATCATATTTCTGAAAGCAGAATTAGATTCTTCTGGGAAAGAAAATGAGACAGGAAAGAAGTGTGAGAACATTCTCACATACCCTGCCCCCCAATTGCTGCAGATTCTAAATAGCTCCCCAGACATCACTGTGATTCTCTATTTGAAAAAGATAACCTACTCTGAGTTTAAAAGAAACACAAGGATATTCTCCTTTTCCATAGGGAAACAAACAATAAATTTAAATAAGATTTAAAATGGTCTTTACCATTGCCAAAAGAGAAACATGCATAAATATATTTATTTATTAAATTTATTTGTCAAATATCTCACTGTGGGGCTAATCTAAGAGGCTTACAACAATAAAAACAGAGAAATGAAAAGAAGTATAAGCATAACAGGAGTAAACTAATGGAACAATAGAATAAATAATGAAAAAGAAAACAACGATACAGTGATATGAATAAAAAATGGATAGGTGGGGAAACAGGGAGCAAGGGTTGTTATCAATCCAGTAACCACCTCTGGTCTGGTACTCCCCCCTTGGATCCCCAGGCCAACTGGCAGAACCAGGAATTCAGGCTCTTACGGAAGGCTAGGAAATTGGAGGCAGATCTCACCTTGGAGAGTAGGATGTTCCAAAGGGTAGGTACCATGGCAGAGAAGGCTATTCTTCTGGATCCAAATAGTCAGAGTTCTTTGACTGATGGGATCTGAAGTAGGCCCTCTCTGCTGGCACAAATGCAGTAGGCTTGTCCTAGTGGGACAAGTCAGTTTATCAAATAGCCTGAATATATGCCATTAAGGACTTTAACCAATACCTTCAACTGTACCTGGAAGCAGACTTGTAACCAGTGCAGTTTGTGGAGCAGCGGTGCAATACCCAAGGGCCATTCTAGGACCCCCAAAGACTGCTCTTGCTACTGCACTTCAGGACCAGCTCCTTGCCAAACCTATGGTCACTAGCCAGGGTCATCCCCATCTTCAAAAAGGGAGACCACCAGCCTAGTTGAAAATTACAGACCAATCTCCTTATGCTGTGTCACCTGTAAAGTCATGGAATCAATTATTAATCAATCCATTATCCTCCACTTAGAGACAAACAACCTACTCTCTAATAAACAATTTGGTTTCAGAAAAAAACTATCCTGTAATCTGCAACTCTTACACTGCAAAAATATATGGACTACACAACTTAATCAGGGCAAAGCAATAGATGCAATCTACATAGACTTCGGTAAAGCCTTTGATTCAGTGGTACACAACAAACTACTCCTAAAACTAAAATCTTATGGTATCTCTGGACAACTGCATAACTAGATAGAAGCATTCCTGTTAAACAGACAACAAATGGTCAAAATTGGGAGCGTCCTATCAAATTCCGTACCTGTCAACAGTGGTGTCCCCCAAGGCAGTGTTCTAGGACCAAATCGCTTCATACTCTACATAAATGACCTCTGTGATCATATTAAGAGCAACTGCGTTCTCTTTGCTGATGATGTAAAGCTATTCAACACCACAGACAATACTGCTACCCTTCAAAAAGACCTCAACTATATATCAGAATGGTCAAATAAATGGCAACTTCAAATCTCAACAAATAAATGCTCTGTCTTACATATTGGCAAAAAAATCAGAAAATAAAATACAAGTGAATAGTCAAGACCTTATTGATGATCCAAACTCTGTCAAGGACCTTGGAGTACTCATCTCTAATGATCTAAGTGCTAAAGCCCAATGTAACTACATAGCCAAAAAGGTATTAAGAATTGTTAGCCTAATCTTACGTAGCTTTTTCTCTGGTAATATCACACTACTAACTAGAGCATACAAAACATTTGCTAGACCAATAGTTGAATACAGCTCATCAGTCTGGAACCGTCAGTAATTTTGCTGCAAAGAATCACAAAAGCTTCTGGGTTGTGCAAAATAAGGGATACACATGTCAATGCAATTCAGCAACATAAAGAAATACAAATAAAACAAATCAACAAGAATCAGCAAAGCATCTCTGATTAGATTTTATTCACTACAAGAATCTATCAGAGATGCTTTGCTGATCCTAGTCCAATGACCTGCTCCAGCAGGGTTAGAAGAGAGTGTGTGTGTATGTGTGTGCATGGCTGTCAAAACTCCAAGAAGAGGTCAAGTAGCTGGGGGGAGGCCAGTCATAAATTAGAACACTTGCTAAACAACCGGCCATTAAGTGTGGACCAATTGTATTTGGTTTGCCAGTCATCTGGCCATGCCCACCTAGTCACATGACCACCAAACCAAACCTACCCAGTCACGTGACCACCAAGTCATGCCAAGCCAGCAAGCCACGCCCACCCAGTCACATGACCAGCAAGCCACACCTTCAAATTAGACCATGCCCACAGAAATTTGAATACCCCCCCCCGGGTGGGGGGCACCGAGGATGAGTTTGTAGCACCAAGGGGGTGGTAGACTGAAAAAGTTTGGGAAACACTGATTTAGGTGTCATCATAGTTTGTTGTACATGTTTCAATATACAGACACAAAATGCTCTGTAAACTTTCATTTTATCAATCAGTCTGAGAATGATATTTACATATAGAAAATGACAGATGATTTTATAAAAATCTTTTTATTGCTCCTATTCTTCTGGAATACTTACTGTTTCGCTATCACTTGAACTTTCAGCTGATAAATCAGTATCACAATCATCTGCTTCAGATGAAGAATAGATAGTTTTCCTCAACTCAAGTTCTATTTCTTCTTCAATTCCTATATCATCATACACTTCTTCCATCCTTTCTATTGTAAAAACAAAAAATACATATATGTAAACAAATATCTATGTATGCATCTATCAACATCTATACATACAAATTATTCAATTTTCTATTTACTGTTATCTTTAAGCCTTTAATTGCAAAAATATATTAAAATAAAAAGAACATGTCTCAAAAATAGTGAATTTAGTGGTAGGAAAAATAATTAAAATGGACAAAATCTTAAAGTTGAGAGATAATCATTCTTGTGTGAATATTTATTTATCCAGACATTAATTGGATAACCTGTAAAATGCTCATTAGTTCATTTCCTCTCATATTGTGGGTGTTTATGTCTCTGTGTGGTGCAAATGGAGTTGCAACTCCCATCTATTAAAAATAGAAGTGTTCAAGTTTACGTTAAAGAAACATCAATTTATCATATTTCAGGCTATCCCGATTTGAGGTGGCATGTGCACAATTCAGTTAAATATGAACGACCAGAAAGCAATTATTCTTTCTCACGGTAACTAGTACATTGGCAATAATCTATTTTAGCTTTATCTCAGACTTTCAGTTAACTTGTGCCTACCCTGCCCATAGAGCTCCGCTTTCGTGCGTGAGGACTACCAGTTCCATGGTGCCTTTGAAAAGCAGCCCTTAAAAGCTTATTTGAAAGTATCCTGTTGAATGCTGGGAGTCGTAGTTTTGGATTCTGTTTTCGGGTAAAGACTGCCCCGTTTCATCACGACGCTTAAAAAAATGTTCCATGACTTGTTTTTAATTTGAAGATTAGAATAATCCCTATTCTCGTTATTCAGAAACCCTTGATCTTTACTTGTTTCTGACGCCGCTAATCACCAACCTGAATGAGAACGCAAGACTTCAGAGCAGCGAGCCTCACTGTTGCAGGAAGTGTAACCATAGTGACAGGGGACGTGGCGGGGGGGGGGGGAGTGTTACGCCTTTGCTATGGAAGCCCAAAGCGACCGGAATAGAAAGAAAGCAAAGAAGCGAGTGTTGGAGAGCCAGTGGCTTCTTTGTTGGGACTGAACAGCTCTAGGTTTTGGGAGATATTTCTATACACCCCCCCCCTTTTTTTTAAAAAATATCAAAACAGACATTCGTTTTGCAATTTCGGGTCCTTTTGCGAACAGAGACCTTAGCCCAATTTTCGACTCCCCTTTCCCTTCCCTGTTGAAAAGCAGCTAGCCTAGTTAAGACAAGATCAGAGCAATAGTTGATGACTTAATGTATGTAATGCTTTTATGTCATTTCTAAGTTTAATTTTCAATTATTGGGATTTAAAAAATAGTTTATTGGTAAAGAATGTTTATCATTACATCAGCAACAGTTGGATGGAATGGATGGAACTATCAACCATAGCAGGAACATGTAAGATCTCTTATCACCACCACAACCCCTCCAAATGTCTTTAAAATTAATCAGGTCTTCCCATGAAATTGTATTTGAATTCTGTAGCATAATTAAGAAAGGCAAATGAAAAACAGAATCCAGCTTCTATATTAAGTTTCATCCTTTTGCTTACTTTTAGCTTTGATTAAGACAGTGATATATTTTATTAAAAACATGTTTTAAATTTGTTTGAAAAATATACATTAAACTGAAGTATCAATTTTTCAAAGTACCCTGATATGTGGCACAATTCAGTTTTGTTGCAACAATGAATAAGATGTTAACTCCTATATTCAGCTGCCAATTAATAAAAAATAACGTGAAAAGAAGAGAAATTGTTCATAATAAAATATTTCTTAAATATAGTTATTGGAGTTTTCCTGCTGAGAAGCAGTTGTATAATTGTATAATAAAATGTGATAATCATATGTTCTACCTGTAGCATTAGTCAGATTTTCAAGTATTGAGTCTTATATTTCTAGTAGTCAAAAACTTTAGATTTCATTTGATAGAAACAAATTGTGTAAGTATAAATACTTATATGTGTACTTTATGAATGCATTTTAAAAAAGCAAAATTACTATACACTCCATTTTCCATCAACCATCTCAGTACTGACCTCCCACAAGGTGGCAGCATTTTGTTATAATGCCTATCACATTAAAAATAAAACTAATTCAGTTACGGGCTTTCTTGTCACTGCATGAAGCCCTTCACCAAGTAAAGATGTGTTCAGAACCAATGAAAGAAAGAAGGCTGCTTTAACGTAAAAACAATACTGTTAGATAAAGAAAGAAAGTAGGAGCCCCATAGACTTTATTTTAAATAATTTTAAACTGCAACTATTTATATTCATGGTTTATCATAAATTGTGGGCAATTTTCTCATGCCATAGCAGCTGTTGGGGGAAGGCATAATTTATGGTACTCCTTATGCAGCAATTTCATGTTACATACTGACTCTTATTGTAGATCACAAAGAAGAAAATCGATATTACCTGAACAGCTAGAATGCAGTTTCATGATGGGCTATAATGAATAGTAGCAACTATTCAGGAGATGCCCAACATTCATGGCAGTATTTCTTTTTCCTTTAAAGCAGGGGTAATTCCACTTTGAACTGATACACATTCCATTCTCTGCAGCTAATTTAAAGGAAAAAGGAGATGTGCTAACTCAGCTTTCCCCAACTTGGATCTCTTCATTTGGAATTGCAACTTCCAGAATTTCTTGAACCATATTTTATTTATTTATTTTATTTATTTGTATCTAGCCTTTGTACAAATAATTCAAAGCAGTAGACATAGCCAACATACTTTTCTCCTTATATTTTCCCCACAAATGAACAACCCTGTGAGTGGCTTGGGATAAGAGAGAATGATGGGTCCAGGGTGATCCAGCTGGCTTTCATGGTTAAGGCAGAACTCTTGCTTTCTAGTCTGGTGCATTAACTGCTAGACCATACTGGCTCTTTTCAATATTCAGTATCTCATTTTAAATACTGATGGGAAATTCTTTGAGTTTCAGATCCCCAAAATGAACAGAATTCCAAAGTCTGTGGTAACTTAATAGTAGCATAGGTGGTTTATTTGGGGGGTGTCTTGCTTTTTCTCTTTTTAAGACAGAGCTTATGGCCCTGAAGATGGTTCAGTGAATAATTTGAATATGCAGTAGGGTTGCATTTGGTATTCTCAGTCTTTAAGTCTTATATTCCTTGTCTGAAATTTCCATGAAAAAGGTTATGAAATAATTAACATTTGTCCCTTCCCTCAATGATGGAAATGTTCTGTATGGAAAATATTCAGATTTGCATATCCTTTTCCTTTCCCCTTTTCTCATCACTGACAGGAAATAAAAGACAGTATTAAAAAAATCAGTGTATAATATTATCTCAGCCTTCAGTTCTAGTCCTGAAAATGTGTGTATGCATGTATTTAAACTATTTGTAAAGCAATCTATATCATGACTTGACAGTAGCAGGGAATATAAAATAAATCTCGAAACCTCATGCTATAGTGCAGCATTTCTTAAACTTTCTCAAGACTCCTTCTTACTTTAAAAATTATGGAGGACACCAAGAGCCTTTTTTATGTGGGCTATGTTTATCAATAGTTACATATTAAAATTAATATTGGTACATTCACTAATGCAACTCTTCTCACAATTGTTTGATGAGATTTTAATACCATATTATTTTTCAACAACAACTTATTATTATTATTATTATTATTATTATTATTATTATTATTATTATTATTATTCAATAATAATTTTGATTTTGAGGATCCCTGAGAGAGTCTTGAGGGATCCCCCCAAGATCCTAAGACTACACTTTAAGAAAGACTGTTATAATGTATATATGGGACTGAGAAGCAATTCCCTTCCTAAGACAACAAAAATATACACTTAACCTCCTGGTTCAAAGCTTGTATGACCACTGAGGTCTTTAATGCCTTGTGAATGGACAGTAGAATCATTGACATCTGATCTCCAAAAAGATCGTACAAGGCAAGCACAGCAATAGAGAAACCATAACTCCTGTTGTCCCGCAGGTAATGTTGTTTAATAGTCAGAACTCAAAATATAGCTAGATGATAGCAGTAGGGCTCACAGACATTAAATGGTTTTTCTAAAGACCAGAAATACACACATATACAAGCGGAAGAAACAGAAGAAATACTTAACAAAATCTTATCAATTATTAAATAAAATGTTTTCAGATGAGTATGTTTTTTGTATACTATTGTATATTGCATAGTGAAACAAATGTCTTATACTAGCATCTTAAATGATGGACCAATAATAAATCCCAATAAATCTAATTTACATTTGTCTTGGCTCAGAGAGGTCAGGGCAGTGTGAGAATAACTAATCCAACTGATTCTCAGTCTCTGTAATCCAATCTGGCATCTGGACCACTACACTGAACTGGCTTTTGGTGATTAAAGAATTTTAAATCTCCCTTTTCTCCTTTTCTTTTAGAGTGAGGGAGCAAAACAAAATTAGGCAGAATGACTTCATTACAACTTCACAGTTTTCATCAATGCTTTTTGCTTGGTTTTTTTTTTGGGGGGGGGGGGAGGAGAGAAGAAGGGAAATGTCATTGATGACCCTAATTTTTGATTACAAGGATTGTGTAAGGCCATTTAGTTGGTTATGAAGATTGTGAGACATTGTTAAATGATTGTTTGACTGGAGCAAGTCTCTATTTTGACAGAACATGAATCTAGCCCATATTACATGGCATATTATAATGGACCTATTTATACTATTAGTTGATTATCCTAGGAAATTAGACTTTAATTATCCTACCTTTCATTTGTTTACAACTTCAAAGAATGAATCAGACACTGGGTGTTTACTAGTCCAGACAGGATCACATACCCTTGCTCAATTTTTCTTTCATCCCAAGAGAAGTGATTGTTTAAGCAAGAGCAGGGTGGAGCTGATAGTTCCACTGAAAACAAGTTGCCTCTGGATGACCCATGTGCAATAAAACAGGAGATTCGTGTTACAATCGTAAAATGTTAAATTTAAAAACTAAATAATATGTCCCATTTGTACAACGATTCTTTAGTAAACAAGAAATGTGTATGCTATGAAATACATGCATGTTTGTACAT